GTAGCCTACCAGTTGCTATTCAATTGTTTTCACAAGGAAACAAGCAAACCCTCAGATATCCATTTGGTTGATTTGTCTGGTGATTTTTCTTTCTTTTATCCCAGATCTTAGGAGTGGAGAATGTACTTGATGTGCATCTTCTTTCCCCCCTGGAAATAATTCTACGATTTAAACTTTCAACTCTGTATCCCAAACAAAAGGTGGTAAATTTATCATGTGCAGCCTAATATGTTTTTATGTCCCAAAATTACAATACCCCAGATAGATTTCTGTGAAATAGTGGCCTCAGAAGACCTGTTCTTTTGAACATTCATTCTCATTTGTTTGCAAAGAAGTTAGACAATGTTGCTTAAAGCAAACTTTATCCCACACTTCCCAGTGCATTTTTCCATCACTTATTGCAAAATAACAACAAATATCTTCATGAAGATGGTTTGTTGTGCAATACCTCAAAATTGTTGGTATTCTGCTTGTATTTTGGTTAAAAGGAAGATGGCTCCATAACTGGTAGGGTTCACATGGTGGAAGTGTGAGAAAACAGAGAGTTTGGTAAGACTCCCTCCCTCAGTGAGGAGCAGTGAGCTAGCTAAGCCTGGCAGGACATCATATTCTATGGTCTTAACCGCTTCATGCTTTAAATAAAGCATGCTGGTTATGTGAGGCTGGATATCCCACAAAAATTTGGCAAAAGCTTGAGAAATACTGCTTTTATTGATGGATCCTGCCCTCTAGAGGTCACTGATTTGCTTGCAGGGTGTTTGCACACCTTCCCATTAATCATTTGTTCACCCTATACTTTCCCCATGCATATTGCCATCACTTCCAAACAGCAAAAAGTCCCTTTTCTTTTTTTTTTAAGGATTTGTTGTGCTGGGCGGCAGAGTGCATTCATGTACCTTACATGCACAAATATAAAGTTTTGGTATGCACTTTAATTCTTCCCACAGAATACTGAATGACTGGAAGTTCCCTTAAGGACTTTTCTCTTTACCCAGGCATTTCCTGTTGATATGAAGGGGGTGGGTGTTGTTCTGCCTGCTGTAGCCATTGAAATTGCATGGCTGTCCGAATGTTTTTAACTGTTATGCCTTAATTTAATGCTTTTTGTGTACATTGTGAACTAGTTCAAGATTCATGAATGAAAAAGGGTGTTAAAAATACAAATGTATAGAGTGCTCTTGAGCATGTGCTGAGTGCCTTTCCCTCCCCAATGAATAATCAAATCACAACCAGCGTTAAACAACAAGGGCACAGGCTTTCACAGGGCAGAGTGTAATATCCAGGGACTTTCATGTCTGGAATCAACCACTGTGGCTTAATTGCTTACATGTAAGGACAGCGGCTGAGCACAGCAGCCAAACTCTCCCTCTCTTAATGCATTGACAGGACACAGGCACTGATTCCTACCCATCTCCTTCATATTTCCCATCTGTTTTCTTTTTGCATTACAGAACATCTTCCTCCTACTCAGCGTGGGGGAGAAGGGCTTATTTGTCTTTCAAGTACTTAGTCATGTTTTGTCACAACCTAAATGCTAATTTGCTGATTCGATGCTTCATATAATAGTTGGTGTTTGTAACTGCCATGGAGCTGCGAACAGAGGAAACATGGCTGGGCACTCTTGGATCTGTGGTTCTGAGGGTAAACATGATCTGCCATGAGAGCCAGTGTGGCGTAATGTTGAGCCATGACCTGAGAGACCAGGGTTCAAATCCCCACTCAGCCACGAAGCTCACTGGGTGCAGCACCTGAGTGCAACAGCAACTCTCCCCACTTGTGATTCCCAAGAACTGGTATAATATTCAGAAACATTACTGCCTCCGACAGCGGAGACAGAACATAGCCATTGTGGTTAGCAGTCATGGATAGTACATGTAATGAAATAATAAGGCTTATAAATGACTATCTTATCCAACTATCTCCCAATCGAACCAAATGCTGAAACTGCTTGAGAGGGGTTAAAGCATTCATCCCACATTTGATAGGAGCAGTAACAGATTATCCCACTGGGAATAACTTTGACCTCTGTGAATGAGGTCAAAATCAATATTCTTTCAAACACATTATGGGCTTCTACAGCAGAAGGAGATATGGTTAGCAGCCTTCCTCACCGTATTTTTCTTATAAAAATAGTTCTTTAAATTTTGAACATACAGAAAATAAAACAGAAAAAACAGGTATCATTTGGATCACCTGATATGCATCATACAGCTAATTAGGGGAGAAAACAGGTAAGTTAAGATTCACTCATTTTTTAATATTATTGTCACATCAAAAAATATAATTCCATTCTTTTTTATTTATTACAGGGTTCAGATTGTGCCCATCAAAAAATAAAGGGTTGTGAAAGCCAAACTATGTGAACCAGGGGTAGTGGGACTGCTCTATTACATGCCTTGTTACGTAGAAAAAAATAATCATGCCAAATTGCATACTGATCGTCATGTTTACTTCGACCTCCTTCCTCACCTTAGTGATAGAAAAGGAGCATGGCAGATTCCAGTAACTCTTTGGAGACACTATAGCCACTGTGTGTGCCATAGCCATTCCAATCAAAGGCAGTATAGTCGCCACACTGCCTCGGATGGCTTTCAGGAAAATACCCTCCGCCACCAACGCAGGTCTGGAAGAAAAGAAAGAAGCATAAGCCAGAATTTTGAGTGCACAATCTAAAAAAATTGAGGGGCCGGCCCGGCCCAATACATTTTGCTGCCTGGCTTATTGGAATTGCTGTCCTCCACCCAGCCACCCCCAGCCTGCTGCTTGAGGTGGCTGCCTCAGCAGGGCTAATGGTTGGGCCGGCCTGGGCATTGGGACCAGGATATGCAACACTGGCAATTGAAGAAGCCACTCACATATTCTGTATCGCATCCCGTGACTTTAACCCCAGCACACAGAGCCATGGCAGCTTTCTCGTTATTAAACACCCGGAACTGAATGAAGCCAGGTTCAATCTTTGCTGGAAAAACAAAATCAGAGGTGACGGTGGGGGAGGGGGGGAGAGGGATATTATGGAGTATCCAGCATACAGACTGTCCTCTATCCCAAGAGCTTGGCAGCTGCTAGCTGTTAATTTGAACACAGTACTCACAGCTCAGCTGAGGCCGCATGCCAAGGTGCAGAGCAGCTTCGTGGGGTGCAAAAGGCCCCAGGTTCAGTGCTTGGCATCTCCAGATCAGCCTATACAGATACCTTCTGGACTGGGAGCTGTGTCTCACTTTAGCACTCGCAACAGTGGACCTGAGGGCAGCTAACTTTCAGGGTGAAGAAGACACAATGGTCTGTCCCCAACATAGGGGAAGCAACAGGGCACTCAGGAGGGAAGCTCAGGGGGATACCACCACACCTGCCACTGAGGCAGTTGCCTTATTTTGGCTAATGAATCAAGAAACATCTCCCGAAAGTGGTGAAAATAATTGGGAGAGTCCCATCATTTTATATGCTGAACAGCTAAAATTCAAGTTCAGAATGAGGATGGGTGGGTTCACTCATTCTTTCTTTTATTCAGAACAGGGTTACCAGACCTCCTGGGCTGGCCTGAAGTCTCCAGGCTTGTCTGGATGCCTCCAGGTGGGCATGAATGCCAATTAATAATAATTTTTAATTTTTTAAAAAAAAATAAGAATGCAGCTTGCAAGTTTCAGCCTGGCAGGAGCCAGATGCAAATTATGGCATAGACTCTCTGTGGAGTGGGAATCTGCCCTCCTCTGCTCCCTCCTCCTCTCTCCCAATTAACGTCCATCTCCAGGACTCAGTGTTGGGAGGGAGCACAGAGAAAGAATCTCTGAAGTTCACCCCATGACATCACCAGAGCCTGATTGGGCCCTGAAATCTCAGGGTCTGGGATGCTCCTGACCTTGCAACCCTACTTCAGAATCAAGTTTCAGGTCTCGGGCTGGATACTTTGGTAGGCTTTAGCTTCCCCACCAAAGCCATCCAAACAAACTCCATGAGAGGTTTTTTGCACTGACACTGAGCACTAGCTTCACGGAACTAAAACTTACACCGAGCATTTGGGGAGTAGAAGAAAGACGTCTGCTGCACATTGCCAGTATCATAGATGACAGGAACTGCTGGGCCATTGTCATCTGGGCAGGTGCCAATCCCAAATGTCACTGGGTATTTCTGGAAGGAGAAGAAATGCCAAAAGAGCTGAGAAAGGCCTGTCTGAGAACATATATGCTGGCCTCTAAAAAAGTGATGCTGGACCAGTTGCTGCCTCTCAGCCTTACCTACCTCACAGGTTTGTTTGGGGGATTAAATTAGATGGGGAAGAACCATGAACACCTTGGAGAAAAAGGTGGGATATAAATGCAATAAATTAATAATAACAAATGTGAGAAGATAAAAACAAAAGGATCACACTTGTCTTATGCTGGCCTTTAACTTGGTCCAAAACAGATCTAACATGTGATTAGATATCCCAATTAAAAACAAAATGTCAATGCAATTGCAGGGGGTCATCCAAAATGGCCGTGCTGCTGCCTGGGGCTGAGCTGATAGGCGTTGGAGCCCAAAACATTGAGAGGGCACCAGGTACTCCAAACTAGTCACAGCTATCAATGCGCAAATATTGAGTCACTAGGCAGCCATGCTTACCTGGTAGAGCCTGAGAAGGTTGCCTCCTTCTTCAGCCAAGAATCCAGTTTCGGTGTGGTACCTCAAGATGGCGGCATCCATCCATTCCTTCATGGGGGTGTTGTTTGGGACATGCCAGATTGCCAAATCCCGAGCTTCAAGATCATAGTAGCCAGGGTTCTGAAAAGCAAAAGAGTCTGAGAGGAAAATCTTGTATGCTGGGGGTAATAACCTTTGGGCCCAGGGGCCAAATGTGGCCCTCCAGATAACTTTATCTGGTCCTCAGTCCCACTCTTCATGGGACTTGCTTTGCAGCATCCTTGACAACTTTTGCTTTCATTTTTGTATTACTTTCACCATAATGACCGCTGCCCACCTCAGATGGGGGGGCGCCTTTTGCAGGTTGCACGCAGCCACCTGATCCTACACGACCAGGCAGTTCAGCCTGGCTTCGCCTCCCCAAGCTGGATACCTGGAGGTTCCCGCCTAACCTCGGACAGTTAGCCAATCCCAGCTGGAGAGGTGTTGCCAGGGGAGTTGACCAGGTAGGGTTACGACCCCTCTGCACACACAATAGAGGGTGGAACTCACCTGGGAGTCCTCAGTCGGCTCCAGAGCTTCTGGATAGTGGACATCGCTGGACTGCATCCTTGCCGGAGGTAAGACCAGGGACCCTATGCCTTCCACCACCCCATCCTTATTCTCCACTCATAGCCTCACTTCTCCAGCAGCGTTTTGGAGCTTTGGCTTCTTTGCTGAAGTTACAGTGGGCGCTATTTCCCCGCAGGCAGGTTGCATGATCTCGGGCCCTCCTCCTTTCCCTGTGCCCGTTTTTTCGGCATGGGGAGGGTGGCGGCTGCGGAGAGAGACTCTTCTGGTCTCCCCCTTTCTAACAGGGCAGTTTTGCAGCCCCGGGGGGCAGGGTAGCTGTGGCGGCGTGCCTGCGCCCCTGGAGGGGTGGCGGGCTCAGAGGCCATTCCCGCTTTCACTGGCGCTCCGCTCGACTCTTTTCCCCCCGTGCTCGCCTTTAGGCCATCTTTGAGGGGCTGTTTCCTGCGGCCTTCCCCTTCCCCTGCCAGCTCGCGGTCATTGCAGGCGGGGCGATGGGGCCGCTTCCCGTGCTCGCGGCGGTCGTGGGGGGGGGACTGCGCCGCTTCCTGCGGCATTTTCCTTTTTCCGGGGGGGGGGCGCTTTTTGCCGATTCCCGCATTAGCGCAGCTCTGCCCGTTACCCGCGCTTACTCGGTGGCCCCCGCTGCAGGTTTCCGCGGTACACATGGCAGCGGCCATGTTAGGGGTGGTCACATGGCGGCAGCCATGTTAGGGGTGGCCGCCTGGCGGCGGCCATCTTGAGAGTGGCGGCAACCATTTTTAGGGGACTAGTAAAAATAAATAAATATTAAAATAAAGTAAAAATAGTAAATGAATGAATAATGCATGCGCATTATTATTATTATTATTATTATTATTATTATTATTATTATTACTACTACTACTATTACTATTATCGTTATCACTGCTGAGATTTTCAGCCAGTCTTGGGCCCGGGGCCTGGTTATCCACCAGCTGCTAGAGGATATAACCCGTTGACTTCGGGCGATATTATACAGCGAACCTTAACTGTTTTTCCTGGGTTTATCTTACAGCTTACTCTAGCGACACCTGCTGTGGCTCAGCTCTTGTCTCACCCTTTCACCCCTAGCTTTCCCGCAATATCAAGCGTCAGTATATTTCAGTATATTAGTTCTGCATCACTAACACCTTCAGTCCTCATTCAGTCTATAGATTTCTACCTTTAGATACTACCCTGTTAGCTTTCCACCATGCCACCTAAGTGTCAAGTAGTTTCTCCTCCCTGCACAAGAAGGGGCACTATAAAGGGTGCGCCCAGTAAGTCAGCACAGGTGCAGGTAGTGGGCCGGAGGAGGGCGCGCCCATCTGGGGACGAGCATCCCACACCTGGGCGAGCCGCGCCCAGGAAGAGGGCAGCTGCAGTGAGAGGGTCATCAAGGTCTGAAAGCCCGCTAGCCTCCACAAGCCATGCAGACAGGAGGCCAGCTGCAAAACGCAAACGTCAGGTGAGCTCTTCCCCGGCCCACTCATCTGATAGTGATAGTTCTTCACGCTTGGAGCACGGGGACAGGAGGGACAAGACCACTGCTTGGCTGAAGCAACGCCTGGAGAGGCTGGAATCGCGTGGAAGGAGCCCTGGGTCACCTCACCGCCACAATAGAAGGCGCAGTGACAGTTCTCCAGACCACTGTACCCGAGAACACAGGTCCCGCTCATCAACCGCATCCTCAGGGTGCAGAGGTAGGTCCCCCCACTCCAGCTCCTCCAATAGGTACAAGAGCCCAGAGCCTCGCAGCTCGCGTCATCGTGGAAGGAAGCATCGCAGATCCAGGAAAAGGGGGCACAAGTACAGAAGGGAGTCTTCCACGTCTTCAAGCTCAAGAGGTAGGTCTAGTTCCTCTGACAGTGAGCGGGAAGGAAACATCAAGGGGTATTGGGTCACGGGCCCGCATGCCCCAGGGCTGCCACATTGGGTATGGCGTCGCCGCAATAGGAAGCATAGGCGCGACAATGGCGCTACTGCGCCATGTGGCGAGGAGGGCATTGACTCCAGAGGCCGCATAAGGGAGTCAAACTTTAAGTGGACTGACCAGCCCCCAGGCATTCGCCTGTGTAAAAAGATAAGGGAGCGCATCCTTAATGGTAAGTTTGTGGACCTATTTCCTTGTTATCCCCTGCTTCATCAATTAGCCTAAAGGCCAAACCTGCTAAACAGCAGAAAAAAAGACAAGAAAGTGTTGGTTGAGCGCAACTTCCACAACTGGCTTACTGCATTTTCCACCTACATGGGGATAGTAAGTGCCGCCTACCCAGACAGAGGTTGGCACCTTGCCAAATACCAGCTTATTATACTAAAAGCCGAGGCTATAGCTGGGGAGGCAGCGGCGCTCGAGTATGATGAGGCCTTTAGAGAGAAGGCAACCGTGTACCCCACAGCCAGGTGGGATGTACAGGATAATGATTTGTGGTCAGAATTGGTCACCCCATATATTGAGAAAAGGCCTGACAACACAAAGCAGTCGAAACCCCAGCCCAAGGTCCCCAGAAAACCGTGCTGGGAGTATAATGACAGTGCCTGTTATAGAGAGAAATGTCGATTTGCTCATGAGTGTGAACGCTGCAGCGGATCGCACCCCACCACCAAATGTTTTCGAGGGAAGAAGCCTTTCCGAGGCTCTCGCGGCTCAGGTACAGGTACGCCCCAGGAAAAAAGAGAGGCCGGAGCACCCTCAGGCAATTCTGGATCACAGCCAAATAGAAGCAATACCCGCAGGTGGCTCTCTTCTTTCCCTAGCCCCCTCACCCATCTCTCTTTCAGCCATGCTGCTGTTTCTTCACGAGTACCCCAATAGGGAGGCAGGAAAATACATTGGGGGGGGCTTCGGGGAAGGCTTCCGTATCCCAGTGGTAGGCAACCCATCGTGCAGTAGCACCCCCCCCAACCAAAAGTTTGTATGGGAGATGCCACACGTTGCTGAGAAGAAAATTGCCAAAAAGCACCTGCAGGTGACGGGTCCATTCCCAGAGCCTCCCTTTCCTAACCTCATAGTACCACCCCTAGGTATCGTCCCAAAAAAGGTGCCAGGTGAGTTCCGTATGATCAGCCACCTGATCCTACATGACCCCCGGCATTTCAAGCCTGGCTTCGCCTCTCCAAGCTGGATACCCGCCTAACCTCGAACAGTTAGTCAATCTCAGCTGGGGAGGTGTTGCCAGGGGAGTTGACCAGGTAGGGTTAGGACCACCCCGCACACACAATAGAGGGTGGAACTTACCTGGGAGTCCTCAGTCGGCTCCAGAGCTTCACCCACCCTGCCCTCCCTCAGTTTACACCTTCCTGTTTGCAGGTTAACCTCTTCTTTACAGCTATGCGGGCGCTGCTGCTGTCATTGATGGTTGCTGTTGAAGGACCGGGAAGGAATTTCCCTGCATTGGCAGGTTTTGCCTTCCCCGTAGCAAAAACGTCACAACTTTGGCAGTTTCAGGCCTTGGGCGGAATCCTTTAGTCTCTCTTCCCTAAATGGGCAGGGGGCGTGAAGCAGTGACCCCCAACCCCCGCGGCAGCGATCCCAGGGTTCCCTGTTAAAGGGGTTGTGTGGAAGGGAGTCACTGGCCATACACCATTTCGTTGTCAGTGCTCTCCCTGCGTTGCGGCAAATTGGGGGGTGGCCTCTCTGCTTGAACAGACGTTCTCCAGAGCCAGCCCAATCCCCACACAGTTTGGATAACCCTGATGTTCCCCAGAACCCCGGACGGGAAGGGATAAACGCCCAATGCCTAAGCCAAGGTCTCCCTACATCTGAAAGTTTAATAAAGTTGTGGCCAATTTTAATTCCATAACACGTCATGAGTCATTATTCCTGTTGGGGGGGGTCTCCACCTGGCCACGCAAAATACACATTGTGTCTGCATTTTTTGTTAGCTGTCTTCTAATCCACATGTAAGTCCAGGCCCAGCTGATGAGGTCAATTCACTTCAGAATGCAGACCCATATTTCTACTCCGTTCCCAGTTTAAACTAACCGCAGTTTGTCCCACCTTGGGGGGGGCGAAATGACAAACTGGTTAGCTGAAAAGCGGAAGCAAATGGTTCGAACCGCATCATGGGAAAGGCGAAACTAAGGAAGAGTGCAAAAGCCCAAGACTTAGACTCGTTTGGTACTAAACCCTGGTTTAGGATTTATATTCAAACACAACCTATGTTGCCTACGCTTCCTAATCAAGAAAACCCACCATGTGCAGTACGGAAAGCAAAGCTGACCTTGTAGTCATCGCTTGTGCAGCCCTTTGCTGACCCGAAGGTGGCGTTGTTGGACCAGTTGCCTTCTCCATTAGGCCATTTGATGTCATTGCCCTGCTGGCTAGACCAGCGGTCTCCCTGGGTGCATTTCCCATGAATGTTGTTCTCGTGGATACTGGCCACCAGTGTCCAACCGCCTCCATTCGTGGTCATGTCGCAGAAGGTTTGGTAAACCTCGCCATCTTCTGTGGCCAAGTCATACAACCCATCTGCAAGAGGAAACCAGGATATCAGGAGAGCCCTGCCTGATCAGGCCCATCCAGTCCAGTATCCTGTTCTTACAGCGGCCAAACAGATGTCTGTGGAAAGCCAGCAAGCAGGATCCGAGCACAAGAGCCCTGTCCCATAGCTGTCAGTTTTTCCCTTTTCTTGCAAGGAGTCCTATTCAGAATAAGGGAATTTCCCTTTAAAAAAGGGAAACGTTGACAGCTATGCCCTCTCCTCTCCTGTAGTCTCCCAGCTGTGGAGACAGCAGTACAGCCATCATGCCTGATAGCCATCAACAGCCCTCTCAGTCACGAATAAGATATACAATATTATAATATAGACAGCAGCAGCAGTGGTTAGAGATGGATATTTCTTACACAATAACCCCCCATTTTGCGCACATTTGACTTGCGCAATTTCAGCCGCTAAAGAGAAGGGGTGCCTGTATTTGCTGGTCTCAGTTTCACCATATGTAGGGCACAAACCTGTTAGTTTGTATTTCTTAGTGCATTAAGTATTGATCTGATGTGTAGAGATCTTTCCTATTCTAATTAATTCAAGAGGGTTCTGGAAGCTTCTTTGTGTGAAAGAAACAAGTACAGTGGTACCTTGGGTTACATATGCTTCAGGTTACAGACTCTGCTAACCCAGAAATACTACCTCGGATTAAGAACTTTGCTTCAGGATGAGAACAAAAATCATGGCACGGCGGCAGCAGGAGGCCCCATTAGCTAAAGTACTTAACCCGAGGTACCACTGTAGAAGGGTCATGTTGTTTGGGTGATTCCTTCAGAGAAGCTGAGTACAGCTGGTTTAAACTAGTTCTCTTATCTCTTCTGTCGAGGCCGTGCTGACTAATAGTAAGGGCAGAAGGAGCCTGGGTTTCTCTTTCTACCTCTCTTCCTTCTGCTGTGGTGTTCTGCACACAGTATGCTTAGGGTTAAGGTTTAGACTTGTATTATAAGTTATTGTAAGTTTAAGTTAAGTCTGCTGCAACTGGATTTCACTTGTCTTCAATAAAGCTCTGATGGATAAAATATTAATTGCCTCTGGTCTATTTTTGGGGAACCCTGCAATGTGATTTAAGTTTTTACTCTGCTAACTGCATTGGAATCTACTCTGGATCAATAAGATAAAGGTAAAGGTATCCCTGCCCGTACGGGCCAGTCTTGACAGACTCTAGGGTTGTGCGCCCATCTCACTCAAGAGGCCGGGGGCCAGCGCTGTCCGCAGACACTTCCGGGTCAAGTGGCCAGCGTGACATCGCTGCTCTGGCGAGCCAGAGCCGCACACGGAAACGCCGTTTACTCTGGATCAATACGGAGTAGAATTTCACTGACAAGAACCATCCTCGTATAGTTTGGAATCACTTTGATTCCTGTCCACAACAGCCAGCTCAAGGCCCCGCCATAATGGTCACATGGGCAGAGACATGCAGAACTTGCCTTGTGGCCGTTGCATTCAGCCCATCGCACCCCCTGAAAGTTCTGGACCGAACATGCCCCTTTCCTGACTCACCCACCTGTGGCTCCTTCCAGTGCTGTTTTGATTTCCATGCAGCTTCGGGGCAGAGACTGAAGGAGGTTCGGGGGCAGACCTTGATGGTTCTGGAGACAGGTCGCATCTTCCCACTTGACCATCAGCTTGAGGATGTCTCGCTTCAAGGAAGTGACACAGCCATTGCTCTCTGCACAAAATAGATTCATCAGGGCCCTGGTCCTCAACTAGTGGGTCGGAAACCCGCAAGCGAGGGAGGCCAGTGGTGGTTTAGCAGTTAGAGCTTTGGACTGCTAGGACCTGGGAGAGACCAGGTTTCAAATCCCCACTCGGCCATCATAATGCTCGCTGGGCGTGACTGCCTCTCTGCCTCGCAAGGTGGTTGTGGGGATTAAATGAGGGAGGAGAGAACCATGCTTGCCTCCTTAAAACTCCTTGGAGAAGAAGGTGGGGTGCAGATGCAATAAAATAAATAAAATAAGGGTCACACGAAATGGAACCAGAGCACTTGCTTTTTAAACAAAGCAGAAAGGGTGGGGGAAGAAAGAGAGAGGGAGAGTATGGTTACATCTACACTTTTATGCAGATTCTACACAGTTCTCCCTTCTGGAGAAGAAGGATCTTGACACAGTTCTCCGTGCACTAGGATATTCCAGGTTAGACTGCTGTAATACACTTAGCATGGGGCTGCCTTTGAAGATGGTTCAGAAACTTGAACTGGGGCAAAAATGTGATTTCCCAGCTGCTGGTTGGAGCCAGGTGATCAGAACACATGATTTTATTTAATTACTAAATGCCTATCCTGCTTTTGCTCCCAAAGGGTGGCAAACACCAAGGTGGTTTTTTTAAAAACAACAACACAAACACATAAATTAAATGAAAAGAAAAACATTTTGAAACTATTCAAAAGAACACACGGCAGGGTAATGCCAAATCAATATGCAACAAGCTTTCCGTTTTCAGAATGAAACCATTTTCTCAATAAGTGCATTTCGGCAGCAAAAAAATAAGCAACAGATCTAGATGCTGTGTGGATTATGTTGAAAAAGCAAGTTCTCAGGTCTGCACTGAGCATAGACTCAAAGGTCTTGCATACGCAGCCAGAACCTGTGAATTTTGTTTCTTTCCAAAGGTCTCATTCAACTGCCACACAAGCCTCCATGTTAAAGCAGGCATATTTATTATAAGACCATTCTATATTATTGCACAGTATATTATAATCTACCCAAAGGTCCTTTGTTTGGTCAGGATTCAATTTCCATTTATTTTATTGCATTTTAATTATTAATTTCATCAAATGTATACATATTTATACAGTGCTTTTTTCTGGGGTACACATACCCCTAAACATTTTGTGAATCTTTGTACTTTTGTCCATTCACTGTATTTTCCCCGATTTGAACTATAAAATGGTGATTTTCTTGAGTCAAAATGAGAGTACCCCTAAACATTTTTTTAAAGAAAAAAGCACTGCATTTATACAAATTTATACATTGCTTGATTGTAAAAAAACAAAACCTGGGTGGTTTACAAA